GCTCGATGCATAGCTATCTATTTACAAGAATGCGACGGTCCCAGTGTTTATTCAGTTCTGATGTGTCGCCATAATGCACTCTACCCCTGGCATTTTCGCGCGTGCTTGTCGAAGTCTTGGTTTCGACATCGTTGCTTTTCTACGTGCACTCTCGCTGCCTTACTTGCAACAGCTCGAGCCCAAAAAGGTGGTCATCGAAGACTCTGCTCTAGCCGCTTTCGGCCGCTGTCTTGTACATCTTCCACCACTCGCCGTCACACTTATACTTCTTCGACTTAATTTAGGCGGTTTCTACATCGGTGAACATCTTCAACCTTCCAATACCGATCAGGGGGATGCCCTAGCTCTTGGGTTCATTCAAGTCGCCGCCAAAATTCAAGTAACAATACCCTACAATGATGCACCAGTACTCAGCCATCACATGCTGATCACGTCAAGCCAGGAACTTCTCGTAATTGCAGGCGTTGGAGCAACATTCTTTCATGTCATCGGAAGTTATTTGCTGCGAGACGGTATTCCTCTAGGAATAGCCGTTGCTGGCTTCTCGTTCGCTCGTCCCAGTTACCTATGGTCGTCAGCTCTATGGGGCGGCGTCTCGGGGACCTGGTACTGTAAGCGGAAAGGCGCACAGCTTTTTGCGCAGATCACAATGGGTTGCACCCTTGCCCTTGCCGTAGGTCCGGCAAGCGCGATCTTAATGCTACCTCGAATCGCTGTGAGTAGAATTTAATTCTTCCCCCAGTCAAGCGAACTGTTTGCTGATTTGAAAGTTCTGCTTGCAAAAGACCTGGCATTCTTTCAGCACTGCTTATTACGTGAAGGGGACCGCCTCTGACTACTGGCCAGATGAACTGACTGCAAACAATGTTGGGGGTCCTCTTTGCCTTGGAACGAATAGCTCAAACTTCAAACAATGTATATCGCGAGGATCTCGTAATCTTGAGAGTTATTATAGTTACGCGTTGTACAAAGACAATTACCGAATCGGGACGCAAGAGACTGGAATTTCGCGATTCTTGGACGTTTGGCCAGGAGAGAGCACCGTAAGTGCAGAGACCTGGGCGTTCGCTCCACACGCAGCCACCTCTCAGGTCGCGTACTATTTCTGGTACGACCCGCAATGGAATCCCGGGCACTTGTATCCTCTACCTTACCAATCTAGAGGGCAGCGTTCGGGAAGTATCACCTCACAAGCGTCAGCTGTCCGGACCGTCTGTGCCCCTGATATCCAAACATTCTCAAGCAATACCACGACGGTTTCTCTACCATTGCTCGAAGAATACAGAGCTTGGGCTCAAAGCAACAGCTCCGAACGGCAGTTCGTTACCATACAGCTTCCAAAGCCAATATGGGGCACGTCTCACAACGCCCTGACAAACAATACCTCATTCACAACCGTTTGGGTTGCTATCGCCAATGCCACGTCGATAACAGCAGGACTAGTATTGTTGGGACCCGTTCGATCGAATACAGGAACTGTTCGTGACGGCTTTGTGTGTTCAATAGATGCTCGATGGAACAAAGTTGTGCATACAATGATGGAATCATCGAGGACTAACACTACTTTGAAAGCCTGGGGTAACCCTGTCAGTGTAGCTATAAGTGACGAGGTCTCACGCAACAATCTCAGGACAACCGCCTTACCAGTCAACAACGGAGATTGGAGACATGTGGCAGCCGACAGAGCTTGGCTCGAGGCTCTGAGCCCGGTGACACAGAACAACCAGGGACCCAACTTCACAATGAGTGCATCGAGCTTGACGACAGGTCTTGAAGACGTCTTTGTAGCAGCCAACCTTAGCATCCCGTCTGTCAACGGCGGAGCCGCAGTTTATGAGCCCATTATCTCCACTTATTTTGCGGACGGCATGTCGCGCGTGGGCCTTGAGAGAGTATTCACGCATGACGGCCAGATTGTCTACACAAATGATCGTTCCAAATGCGAGAATGTCACCTCAAACTACCTATTCTGTCCGAAGCCAACTGGGACGGGCTCCCACACGGCAATGGCATTCCAGGGTTATCTGACAGGTGAGCGTCCTCCTTTTCGATCAGCGCAAGAGAACAGAGCTGAACAATCTTCTCAAATCAGGCTACGCTTTCAATGCGTCAAGGGCAACAGACTACTTAGCCATCGCCGTTCTCCTCGTCTATGTGGTCGTCGCCCTGGCCCACATTTCACATCTTCTTCTTTTCCGACGAAGATCCGGCTGTTGGGACACGCTAGAGGAACTCCTCGTGCTAGCTCAGACATCTAAGGTTAGTGATAAGGATCTAAGCAACACCTGCGCTGGTATCAAGCGTTTTCGGACCATGAGCCTCAATACGCGCATCAGGACGGTCGGATCTGGTGTCGAACTTGTGGGCGTGGAAGACCATGAGGAGTTGCAGTTGCTTATCGGTGCTGCCAAGGGAGAGGCACAGATGAATATGGTAGAGCCCAAAGCGGAGTATGGCAAGACTGAAAGTGATTCCTAGATACTCGCGAATTTTCCCATTCAGATGCTGAGATTGCATGATGTGATTTCAGTGACTTCGAAGAGACAGAGTGCTGGCCTTTGACTCCTCGAGTCTGTCTTCTAAAGCAGTGCAATTTTCTTCACAGGAGACAATCTCTTTCAGCCCCCAGTGAGCCAGCCATTCTTGACCGGAAATGTACTCGGACATCTAATCTCTTTCAACCCTACCGGACGAGGGGAGAACTAGGACTTATGATTCGACTTGCGATGATGAAAAGGTAGCTATGACCTGGCAAAGACCTATCATCAAACGCTCTGCTCTTTGACTTCTCACAAATGAAATTGCACATCTCTTCATTTCCCCCGTTCCATTACCCTCCCAGCGCCGATTGCATTTCTTTCTTGTTCATAACACCTTCCTCTCCATCGTTAATACCTTCCGTGGCAATGGTAGGTGCAGTACCACGATGCATTATGACACTATTCACCGCAAAACCTGTACTGTGATGGCAGTTCGTTGGATGAGGTTTCGGAGACCAACTGTTAGATTACAGTATTGATGATGATGCGCTCCATGTTTGAGTGCTGGCGTGCTCGATGGTACTGATGGATTGGAAGGCAGAATCATAGACCTTTCCTAATCAGTATCTGTACGGGACCCTAAGAGGTGAACAAAGGACGTGGATCGTTGGCAGTCTCAGAAACATGTTTTAGAGACATGGGCTGTGAAGTGTTTCGTGAGTCAAGCATGGGGACTAAGATGAGCCTCGTACACCTTTGGGTTTTGAATGGGCGGGTTTGTCCCCTATCACTAGGCTTATGTCCTTCTTCTTAGCACTGGTATACGTCAACCATATATGTGAACCATCTCGCCCTGCTAGCGATCAATGTGAGAAACGGCAATGAGACAGATCTACCAGCGAGGTGGAGTTAACAGGGAAACTTCACAGAGATGAGACAGAGACGAGATGATCGCCACAGTGGGACTGGGGGTTAGTGGGTCACATGACATGCCCCTGTTTCATGGCCCTGTCGGTACCCCTGCAAGGGGTAGGAAGACAGGTGTCCAGTACGAGCTATATAGCCACCTGTTTTGCACCTGTCAATGGCTCTTCATTCGATTTCGTCTCTTTCAGAGCCATTGCATACTTTTGTCCCACCCACCCACACCTGTACATAGCTAGCTATCATTCCGCTCCAGGTCTATGCCATAGGCATGAGAGTTTTCTTGCGCTGGGGTACGAGCACTATCTACACTCTATGTGGGCCCCTATGCGTGCATTGATGCGTGTTTTTCATGAATGGGACAACTAAGATCCAACTACTCCGTAAGGAGAGAACCTCACCTACAACTCGGTTAAAATTGTCGTTCATGCGGGGCGCTGCAGGCTCTCGTGATGCCAGATAAGCCTGCCATTCACTACCTATCTTGGCCTGTCGGCTTGCGCTAGAGCTGCAAATCAGCACACGACCAGCCTCTTGACATCGAGTTCCTTATCAGCCAATAGTGCTCGGCCTGGCGCGTAAATATGTCCGAACTGGCCAGGATTCGAACTAGCTCCACAGCCACCAAACCGGAAATGTTCCGCAGTTACAAATTGTTGATACCGTGGATTGGCTTGTTGCAGAACTACCTCACATCCCCACACATGGCTCAAGCTGCAATGATGTTTCTGGTCAGCTTGTGCTGGTGACATCGACTCCTCGCACGGCATCATACATGGCCATCGTACACAAGTCGGTAAAAATCTCCGAACCCTGCACAGGCGCAATAATGGTGGATGAGATACTGGATGATCCAGTCGTGTCTCTATCGCATAGACTCCCACATGTGCCGGCAAGGCCTTCTAGCATGACACCGTTCCATTGCGTAGGTGTTGGGTAGTCTTTACACTCACTATGAGCCCGGATAAACTGCGTGGAGACGCTGATCGCCTCAAGTCGAACCTTTCGCTCACCAACTTGCAGTTTGCCGCTCTGACTACAGCCTGAGTAGGCAGCCGCCATCTGCTATCTGAGAGAGTAAGATCAAAGCATCTCTGGGATCTAGCCTTCTCCCAAAACGCAGGACAAACGAAAGACACAACGTTATAGCAAGCGGTACCTACGACTCCGTCCCACCCTGCGACTCCTCCGTAACTTGCGACATTCTCTTACCTAGGCCTCCCCATACCCTAAAGCTTCCCTACCGATCTGAGCCTTCCCGTATACCATCCGATAGTATCTAGACGACACTTTTCTTCCGATAGTGTCGAGACGCAAGCATGCGGTTTTGGAACTTTCGGAAGGATAAAATCTAACCTGTTTTCTCCGAAGAGAAAATATTCATCACCGAGACCGGGCTTACTAGCACACTTGCTAAAGCGGCTATGTCGGTACGAGGCTCGAGTGAGTGAGAAGCACGTTTCTGTCACCTCCGTATAGGTTGAATATCGACCATGCGGCGCAATCGCCAGGCTATGCCATCATCATAGTTGGCGTGAAGATACTTAACTTTCACTGAAAGTGATTTTAACATTTGTAACTCTTTTTACATGAAACTCAGGCGTCTTTGCCCCCATCACCCTCTTCATCTTCGTCTCTTGCTGACCTCCCCTGCTCTGTCTACCCCACTCAAGTCAAAGTGACAGTCACTCGAGAGTAAGAAAGCTAAAAGACTTCGGTTCATAGATGGGTTTTGTCTCATGCCAGTTAAGTGGCTGGATCTTGTCTTGATTCCTAGCCATTCGAGCGTCTGGGCGTTGACTGACCATGTGAGTCTTCCTCTGAAACCTTCATCATGCTGTCTTCGCCCCTCCAAACATCGCCCATTTCCTTGTCTTTTTCCTTTTGATTTCGTTTGTAAGGTTTTCCAAATTCGTATTCGTCATTTCTCGTCGGATCCATCATTGCCATCTCGGTTGAGGAATGGCCTGCGGTTTGGTGAGTAATCCTCAGACTGGGTGGACATGTTAATGGCTGTCTCGAGATGTTCCTTCCTCAAAACGATACTCTTCTCTCTCTCCCCGTATCTTGTCAAGAAACTCTCGGAAGCGCGATCGCTTCTGCTACCTTTCTGGTGAGGGTCCGATGCTGCTGCCGGCGCTTGTGAGGCGTCATACTCAGCAAGAGAGAGCGCTATATGGAAAGCTGAGGGACATTTTTAGCACCTGGTCGTCTCTCGCACATACGCCTCTTGATCCCCGGAGATGGTGGGGATTATGTATGACCGGACACTCACCATTTTGTATCTGGAGTAATCAATTGCGAGTTGAGAATCCCTTTCCCGAGCATTAGCACTTGTCGAGATATAGCTTTCTAAGTATTCACCGTACTCCTCCTAGACCGACCAGCGCAGCTCGAGAGGCCGGCTTCGAACATTTCTCGTCGATCTCGGCGAGGATATTGCCGATCGACGAAAGCAGGATCCTGTCGGAAAGGGATGGTGGAGCAAGGGTCGGGCTTTGTTAGAAAGTCTTCTGCGGGTACGCAAATGCAGTATCATTATCGATGCACTCCAAGCTGATCGAGAAGGGCTGACTAGCCTAGCTGACTACGAATATTGACATTAACGTATCCCGAGTTTGCGCCTAATTGAAACCCCCCGTTTCTTGTTGCCCGAGAATATTGTGATGGGATGGGCAGTGGTCATGCTGGCGTTTTAGGCTGGATTTTGCGGTCTTCGGTGGCATGTCGCCTACATCGACACGTTCGGATGGGTGAGACCGGAAATGGATCAGCTTCTGCTCATTCTCAAGCTTTAGGTCCTTCGCGCAGAGCACTTAGATACTTTGGAACGTGCCAAAGATCTTGCGATCACAAAGAAAGGGCAAGAGAAGTATGCAGAGGCTGAGGAACTATACTAGCGGGTCCTCTCTGTGCAAGAGAGACTTCTCCAGTCGAGAGGTCCGGAAGTTCTCAAGACAACGGACGGCTTGGCCGTAGTTATCAGTACCGGAGACCACCACAAGAAGGCCGAGAAGATGATTCGAGACGTGATTGGCAGGATGAAGGAAGTGCTAGGACCTGATCATCCAGAAATCTTAACAGCACCGAGCAACGTAGCAACCGTGCTTTTCGGTCAACGCAAGAAAAAGCAGCCATCCAGCTCTTGAGGCTTACTCTGGACAAGAGAGAAGACATCTTTGAGGAAGAGCGCCCTGATATGCTACTCAACCTCGACCACTTAGCCGTTGCACTTGTAACTCGTAGGAAGTACAAGGCAGCAGTGCCGCTCTACAGACGCGCACATGCAGGACAGAAAATGACGCTAGGGACATATCATCCAGATACACTGACGACGCAGAACGATCTTACATCTGCCCCTCACGAAGGCTTGTTTCGTTATTGTCCAAATTTCCCTAAAAAGGAGAGGAGCGCGCATGCAAGACTTTCAGAGTGTGTATCTCCCGTATTGGCCTACTATCGCGCTTTATCAGACCGTATCTGCTGCCGCTGATGAGTAGCGTGGCAACCTGCTTTCACGTAGAACTCCTTTCTATTCTAGCGGCGGACATTACCGATTATAAGCAAATCTATTCAAGCCACCCCGCCAATGGAACTGATCGTTCGTCCCAGATTTCTGAGTTTGTTTGCTTCTCCAAGTCAGCGAAATCAGAAGTCCCAGGCCGTGTTCAATAGTACCTACCGATACTAAGAAATGTGAAATTATCTGTGAGGATGATTAAAGATGGTATGAAGGGAGATAAGCTGTGAGACTTGCCAACATTACGCGGTGCGCCTGTGTCCGGGTGTGAGGTTGACGATAGAGTTCGACAATTCGCCCAGGCTTTCGATTGGTCAGCTTCAGAGACATGGCCTTCATCAAATGTTGGTGCTCACTGTAGGAATCTCCACGAGCAACATCATCCCTGAAGTTACCGATCCGAGTATGGTACATCTGTATCATCAGCGTTAGGAGATGGTTTCAATCCAAGAATAAGCCAAGCGTAACGCCAACCTCATGCGCAATACCGCTATCAAACAGGTTATAGTAATCGATCGGCGCGTAAGTCCGCTGCGTGGACCGTCCCTGCCAGAACCGTCTCTCCCGGGTGAGAAAATTATCGTCGAAAATTCCCGAGTCCTGGTACGCGGCCGCCAAACCGGCCTCGACGTACCGCGGGCAGATGATGATGGTATCCGGAGCATCCGGTAGTTCGCCGTCGACCTTCTGCCATGCGAAGTTGAGGGCGCTCGGGACATCGAGGTTGCCTCGGAAGTTGCTCTTGGTGTCTCTGCAGAGTAGATAGGCAGGGTCTGCGTCATTGTAGCTCTTGAGGGCTGAATTAAGACGTTAATAAATTTGGTGGATGGCCTGCAGAGAAAAGGGGGGCACAGAGAGAACAATGAGAGACTCACATCTATCATACCACTGCACGAGAACTCCTTCTTCGTTATATAGAGGTTTCATATGGCTCATGTCGCAATAGAAGATCTTGAATCAGATCAGCCTCGAATCAAGACCCTTATTTGAAGACCGTATGCGGCAAACCCGCCAACAACAACGACAAACAAGACCACCCAACTCAGTGACTCACCACGTCGCCTCCCTCCGCCTCTTCCGCAGGGACCTCCCCAGTCACACCGGCCATGCCAATGATGTCGTCTTCTCCGGTGCCCGTGCCACCGATGATGGCTCGCGGCGCTGCGTAAGCGTCGTAAGCAGGCGTGCTGGTACCGAACATCCACCGAACGAATCTATTTGTGTCGGCATTTGGGTTGCGAAGTGCGGCCTTGGTGCTCGCGGCGGATTCCATCACCAGCGTGATTTCTTCGCGCATGAAGGGCGCGTTGGCGGCGGTTAGGCATGAAGGGGCGAAGGCAAATTTACCTCTTGCGCAGGCGAAGTGGGGTTTGAGAAGGAGGAGAAATTGGAGGAGAGTGATCAAGAGTGTTTTCATGGTTGTAAGTTGAATTGTGGTGGGAAGAGATGGAGAGCATGAGATTCGCAAGGATATCGCTCGGTATTGAATCAAATACCGACGGAGGATTGCGCACTCCCTTTATTTTGACCGTCAATGTCGCAGTGCTTCGTTGGATATCTCGCTCATGAGTTCTTTCGACTATGGTAGTCCCCGCTTTCCTCCCCCATCATCTATCTTGTTTGTCAAAAAGAAAAGAAAAAACAGCTCCCGACCTCTGTATGTAGAGACTGATCTTCTTCCATCTACACAGGCAGCCCCAATACACACCTTAAGGAACTAGGCGGCTCCTACACCATCGACTGCCTCCGCTACTGGATCCAACCCTCCGAATTCAGCAAAATCGAAGCCTGCACCGTGGACGGCCAATCCGGAAGCCGCTGCGCCCTGGGCTGGATCACACCCGGGCAATCCTGCGCGACCGCGAACTGCATCGACACGGGGTCGACACCGACGGTCTGCACGGACGGGGATATCACGGATGAAATGGGCAGTTGCGACGAACTCTGTGTCGGGGGCCATTGTGCGTATTTTTACAATTATGGGCAGGAGGGGACGTATGGGGAGAGTGGGTATGAGTGTAGCCGCTGCCCATCTTGATCATTCAAGAGATCTACCCGATATCGAAGACCCCCTTTATGTTTGTTCTTCTTCTCAGGGAAGAAGGCGCCGATTCTTGCTCCTGTCCAGCAGAAGACGGCGATTGCGAACAGAATTTGAACTTTGTTGCATGGATGGGTGAATTGGGCGTCGTCGACAGTCCAGTATGTATTGGTGAACTGAACCAGCTCCTTTTCACCGAATAAGTACTTCGACTTCTTCTTGTTCACGACCAAATCTTCTTTGATCAGGGTATTCTTGGTCTACTGATGGAGTTCCGTACAGCTTTGGGGACATTATATTCTATTTCGGCATGCACTTACATCGTATACCGCATATCTATCCTCCTCATCGATACGGTTACTCGTCACTCGATTAACCAACAGCAAAGACTTATCTGCTCAATTAAGTAAGTATATATCTTTAAACGGAATTAAGTTGATGTTGGTATTCACTTCTTATAGCGTCTTAAAGCAATGTCTCGATCCCTCAGGGTCTTCTTCATATACTTTGTATTGTCCCTCTTGCTATCCTCTTCCTGATGACCTTCCTGCTTGTAGCGGTTGGCTTTAGCTCTCTTCAGTAGCTCTGCTGGCGTACGTCGTTTCGGCTCATAACCGCATGAAACAAAGATAGGTGTCGAGTATGTCTATGGGGGAGATGGTGGTCTTAATCTTTTGGTCACAAGAGCAAGAAATGAAGAGCCAGGATGGGCGGGGCACCGCTCCCTTTCATACCCCACCTCGGCAGCCATCTCTGAGGCCCCTGGGGCGGGCTGTGCGAGAGCGCGCGCTTTTCTGGATGCTCGAACCAGAAGGTCTTGATGAGTGGAAAGGATCCCTCGCTAAAGCGGCAGCCCCCAAGTGAGCTTCGATTGGGGGCAGATTTTTGTCGCCTTCATCTGCCAAGGTGTCCAAGTCCTCGATTAAGATTAGGCGCGCGCTTGCAAAACACTACTCTACTTTAGAGTAGCGCCATACACGAGTGGGCTTGGCAGAGAGCTCGGATTTTGTACTGTAGATAGAGCTAGCAATCATCATGCGATTGAACTGATGGAGACGAGATCTCGCAAAAGTGTCCCCATGCCGTCAACCTCTCAATCGTCATGTCCTCCTCGAAACCGAGGCAATCATTCGACACCCAAGGATCGCCTGTTGTCAGCCCATCATCAACCTCTCAGTACCCTTTCCCCCAGAGCGACTCGCCTCAGAGACCGGGCTCAAGCGGACGGTATGGGCATAACCGACGTCGAGGCTCAACCGCGAGCTCTATTACATCAATCGGCGGAGTCTTGGACACGGCGACACAGAGTAGAGATTCGATAGCAGAGGCGGGCAACAATGGTTCGTGCAACTCTTGATTAGTTACGTTTGTGAATAAATACTGATCTCTGCTATGAGAAGCCATCGCAACTCTTCTGCAGCCACCGATTGTTCGCACAGGTCTTCTACCGCATGCTTCAGGCCCCAGCGCACAGAAGCTCCCTTCCGCCAAAGACATCCCTCCGGTCACTCTAACGAACATTCCCCACGTCGAATCCTCGTCGTTCCTACCCTACCTCAAACAAGCGGGCTCCTTATACGATGCATTTCAGCGTGCAAAGGAGAGCGAAGGTACCGGGCCGTCGCAAGTCAGAAGTTCTCGAGCTTCTTCAAAAAGTGAGCAGCTGTCGGGCTTTCTAAATCCGGGTCATCAAAGTCGACAAGCAAGTATATCTAGCGCTCAGAAACCAGGGGATATACTCGCAGCACTTGGGTCAATACCAGAAAGGCCACAGCCCAAGAGAAAGAGCAGTGGAGGAATTTCGCGGCGAGGACCGCTTCCAGTGGCGCCATTATCCACCGTCCCCCAAGTCTACTTCGACCCAAACTTTCATCTGGAGAATCCTAGGACTTTCGATATCGTAAGTGAACGATCAGAAATCGTACGTCCTCCCCCCGGGGCAAATGGAGCTTCACCGACGCCAGGGACAGGCGGGAGGAAAGCGCTAGCATCCAATGCCATCCTGCAAGAGAAACTCTCATGGTATATGGATACGGTGGAGGTTCATCTGATATCATCCATCTCTACGGCTTCCACATCCTTCTTTGCAGCCCTTGGCTCACTACGGGATTTGCACATGGAAGCGTCGGCTTCTGTAGCCAAGATACAGGCGCTGAGAGCAGACCTGGCCAGGTTGGACAAAAGTATGGCCGTCGGAGGTCTCAAAGTCGTTGCCATGCGAAGGCGCCGCGAAAATGTTCGGAAGCTAGGCGACGCTGTCCAACAACTGCGTGATGTTGTTGATGCCGTAGCTCGCTGTGAGGACCAAGTCGACCAAGATAAGATCGAGGAAGCCTTGCGAGGATTGACCAATGTGGAGAGGTTGATAGCAGGAGGGCGATCGGAGCCTACAACATTGGACTCAAATGAGGTTACACCTGGCGGAGGCAACCTCGTTGATCTGCGCGGCATCAAAGCTCTGGACGGCGCCAGTGCCGAGATTGCGTCTTTAAGGGAAAGGATAGGTAAAAGCTTCGAGGCAAGATTTCTGGAAGCTCTGCTCTCTGATCTGCGAAGACACGTCGACACTGTGTCTTCAAACGCTACTTTTCAAAGATGGGACAAGGCTTCCCAGAGATCTCGAGGCACCCACGCTAGGACGCCATCCGTATATCCAGCCTACCTACAAGTTGACGAGTCGCTGCGCACAGTCCTCCTGTCTAACCTTGATGGATTGGCCAAATCAGACTCGGTGAAGCCTGCAACAGCCGCTTACCGAGAGGCAGTGTGGAAAGAGGTTAAGACTTTGATTCGACGACATCTGCCGAGTTCTAGCGATGACGACAATGAGTCAACAATGTCGGCATCTACTCAGGGTGGTAGACATCTAACACAACAAGAGAAGTCTAGTCTCTTAGCGAGGAATCTCCGTGCTCTTGAGCCTGAGGATGCGGAGGTTATGCTCAAGAAGATATACTCGAACGTTGGTGAAGCCTTGCGCAGACTGGGGACTCAGGTCAAGGTCGTGTTGGACATTACTAGTAGCTTTAGCAGCGCTTCGGCAACAAAGCCTCCAAGGTCTCCTATGAGTCCACCAGTCGCGGATTGGAATAGCTATATAGGCGCCACTCCGACCAATTTAGCGACTCTTGAGACAGCCCAGCAGGAAGACATCCAGCAGACACTAGATATGTCAAATCTCTTAGGCCAAGCCGTGGACATTGCTCAGGCTCAAATCACGAAGATTCTCAAGGTCCGGTCAGAGCAAAGCACACGGCTTCCATTACCACAGTTCCTAAGATACTTCCATCTTAATAGGCTCTTTGCAGACGAGTGCGAGGCGGTATCCGGACGAGGAGGCATGGCCCTCAAGACCGTCGTTAACGCCCATATCGTCGACTACGTACGCCACGCGGCAGACGCAGAGCGGCAACACCTTGTAGCAGGCATGGATGCTGACCGATGGGACGCGAAAGACTTTGATGACTCTGATTCACAAGTATTATCTCAGATCATAGAAGCTGGCACTAAAGAGATCGAGCCGTGGGTCAGAGCTTCGATGATATGGAGCGATGAACCTCACGGTGTAAACGGCGAGCAACAAACCAACGGAGCTATGACAAATGGTTCTACCCCGAAGGACAAGACACGCCCAGCCATCATTGACGAGCAAAGATTCCTTCTTCCTGATTCAGCCCTCATCGTCCTGAACGGCATCGGCCAATTTGAGCAGCTAATGACTGGCATACCGAGCATGACACAGGAGCTTACCCCATCACTTCTCGAATACCTCAAGCTTTTCAACTCACGATCCTCGCAGCTCATCCTCGGAGCCGGTGCAACGAGAAGCGCAGGCTTGAAGAACATCACGACGAAGCATCTAGCCCTTGCATCTCAGGCTCTGAGCTTCGTCACCGCGCTGACGCCCTACGTCCGAGAGTTCGTCCGAAGGCATTCCCCTGGTGCTGGAAGCTTGATGGTGGAATTCGACAAGGTCAAGCGACTGTACCAAGAGCATCAAGGCGGCATCAACGATAAGCTAGTGGATATCATGAGTGGACGGGCTACTACGCATGTCAATGTCATGAGGAAGATCAACTGGGACTCGTCATCACCAGACCAGGCTGTGAGCCCGTACATGGAAACTCTGGTAAAGGAGACGACGACGCTACATAAAGTGCTCAGCAAGCATTTGCCAGATATGACAGTGCGGATGATCATGGATCCGGTGTTCAGCAGCTACCGTGAGCAATGGGGTAAGGCGTTCCACGATGTGGACGTCAAAACGGTAGCTGGGAAAGAACGGTATGCATCAACCTTTTCTGCGATCCCATATGAAAATACTGATCCTGATTGAACATCTAGGATGCTTCGTGACACCGAATTCTTCAAGTCGCGAATCTCCAAGATCGATGGCGCCGGCGATATTGGAGATCACCTCGTCGACATTGTGAAAGTCAAAGCTGTTGCCGAACAGCCGAAAGCACCTCAGGATTCTCCCACAACCACCAATGAATCGACGGAGAAGCAGCAGGAAGCTGATGTTCAGGAGAAGAAATGAGCTGCTGCGCTTGTCCCTCAGAAGAACACCTTGCATTCCATCGGCGCGTGCTACTATACCACTTCTATTCTTTGATTGTAATTTGCTCCTAAAAGAACTCATTCCGCAGTCGCTGGACCTGAGATGCATAGCAAGGCGTTGAGACGATTCATGGAAAGCTCTAGGCTTTGGGGTGTACATGTACAAAATCTCATGATTCTAGGTACTTTATCTGGTATCTATCCGTCGAAAAATTTCCCCGATGCAAATCGCACGCATCAATGTGAAATATATACGTGTCCGGCACAAACGCGGCCGCCATACATCGCCATGTTGAATTGCTCCTCCTCTACAGTCGCTCGTCTTTCTGCCCTCTTACTCGCATCGGAGATGTCACTTCTTCCTCCCATAAATCTTCCCCAAAAACCCTTCGAATACACTCCTCTTCAACCCGCCACTCTCATCGAGCCCCTCGATCATCTTGCTAATCCTCCCCACAACATCTTGCTCGTAATCCAAATAGACCTGCTCCAAGTTCAAGTCCTCGAACACCTCCTTGACCCTCCTCTCCTTCCTGGCATCCTTGCGCCCGTAGCACTCATCCAGCACCTTCCTCTGCTCCGGACTCGCCCTCTTCAGCGCCTGGTTGATGATCCAGCTGCACTTGTTGTCTTGGATATCCGTGCCGATTTTGCCAATTGCCTCCGGAGAGCCGTAGGCGTCGAGGTAGTCGTCTTGGATCTGGAAGTATTCGCCGAGCGGGATGAGTATGTCTTCGCACCGCTTCAGGTTTTCCGGGGTGGCGAGCTCGAGGTAGTGCAAGGCGAGGGCGACGGGGAGGTAGAAGGAGTAGTAGGCTGTTTTGTAGATGACGATGAAGTGGTGTTTTTCGGGCGTGAAGTTGTTGAGATCGACGTGGTCTTCCGGTGCGGTGAGCAGGTCGCAGAGCTGGCCGACCTCCGTTTGGAAGGTGGTGGTGTGGAAGAGTTCAATGATATCCACATAACTTGGATGGCTCCGGAAATGTTTCTTGAGCAGTACGTATATTGACATCTCGAGCATGAAGGCGTCATTTATAGCAATCATACCCACGCCTGGCTTACGGTACCAGCATGGTTGGCCCCGGCGCGTTATGGAGGAGTCCATTATGTCGTCCGAGACGAGGAAGAAGGCTTGTAGGAGCTCGGTGAGCCAACCGAGGGTTGCGGTGAGGAAGTATTCGGTTTCTTCGA